TTACACATTCGCCTAATTCGAGTAATTCGCTGAGACGTGTTATGGGTGTTCCAATTTCTACCACTTTTTCTACTTCCGATTTCGGTAAACCAAGTTCCACCAAAAAAGTAATGGCAGCGGCTCACATGGATGAGATTGGTTTTATCGTAAAACAAATTGACGATAATGGCTTCCTCAAAATACACACTGTGGGCGGTTTCGACCCAAAAACATTAACTGCACAACGCGTGGTGGTGCACGGCAGCAAAGATTTGATTGGTGTGATGGGTTCTAAGCCAATTCATATTATGAGTCCGGAAGAGCGCACCAAACCGGCTCAAATTCACGATTACTTTGTGGACCTTGGTTTACCGAAATCGGAAGTAGAAAAAGTGGTAGAAATTGGAACACCCATAACACGTCTCAGCGAATTACTCGAATTAGGCGAATGTGTAAACTGCAAATCTATTGATAACCGTGTAGCAGTTTTTGTACTAATCGAAACATTGAAAGAGTTGAACAATAAAGAAATTCCATTTGATTTTTACGGTGTGTTCACAGTGCAAGAAGAAGTTGGAACAAGAGGTGCACACACAGCTGCACATCATATCAGCCCAGATTTTAGTTTTTGTATAGATACCACTATTGCTTTCGACACTCCGGGTGCAAAGCCTGAAGAAATGGTCACCAAATTAGGTGCCGGTGTGGGTATTAAAATTATGGATGGTGGCAGTATTTGCGACTATCGCATGGTGCGTTTCATGAAAGATTTGGCGAACCAACACAACGTTAAATGGCAAGCCGAAATTTTACCTGCCGGAGGTACAGATACGGCCGGAATGCAACGTATGGCTACCAACGGAACCATTGCCGGTGCGGTGTCTATTCCAACACGTCATATCCACTCGCATATTGAAATGGCGAACAAAGCCGACATTCGCGCCAATATAGATTTGCTGAAGTTGTGCTTGGAAAATTTAGACAACTACGATTGGAGTTTCAAATAAAAACATGAGCAACACATCCTCTTGGACAGCAACCGATAATGCCCTTTCGAAAACATTCGTGTTTGCGGATTTCGCTGAAGCCTTTGCGTTCATGACTCGTGTAGCCCTTATTGCCGAACAACTCGATCATCATCCGGAATGGAGCAATGTGTGGAATCGCGTGAGCATCACCTTACGCACACACAGTGCAGGAAATACAGTAACTGAAAAAGATTGGGAATTCGCACAACGCATAGACGAAATCATTCAATAAAAACAATTTTGTAAGGTGTATAGTTCAGAACAACAAATAGCGCTTCAACAACTCACTAGTACTCTTTTGTCGGCTTTTTTACCGCCCACAGCCGAGGAATTGCGAAGTGTGTTGCGCTATCACGATTGGCGTTATTATGTATTAAGCGAACCCATCATCACCGATACCGATTACGACTTTTTTTTCAAAGCATTGAAAACACTGGAGGAAAACAATCCAGCTTTGATTACGCCTGATTCGCCTACACAGCGCGTGGCGAAAGGGTTAACCGAAGATTTTCATCCGGTAGACCATTTAGTTTCGATGCTTTCACTTGAAAACACCTACAACATTGAAGAGGTGGCCACTTTCGAAAATCGCGTGAAAGAACTAGTGATGAATGGTGATGTTGAATATTGTATCGAACCTAAATTTGATGGTGCGAGTATTGCCCTCGTGTATGAAAACGATTTATTAATTCGTGCCGCTACACGTGGCGATGGCACAACCGGTGAAGAAATCACAAACAACGCGAAAGCCATTGCTTCAGTGCCGCTTTCTGCGCCCTTTTCAAAATACGGGATTTATAAAATTGAATTGCGAGGCGAAGTGGTGATTCAAAAAGATGTGTTCGAACAAAAAAACAAAGAGCGTGTGGCGCGAGGCGAAAAAGCATTTCAAAATCCTCGTAATACCGCCTCAGGTTCCTTGCGCATGAAAGACCCTAAAGAAGTGTCCCAACGAGGCTTGCAAGCCATCATGTACCATATCAGTTATGCTGTAGATAAGGCGGGGCAAAACTTAATCGGCATCACGTTGCTGCATCATTTCGACAACATAAAAATGATTGCCGAATGTGGGTTTAAGAGTCCGATTCAAGAAGTATCAGTATGTAAAACTACCGAAGCAACAGAAGCTTTTTTAGCAAAGTGGATTGAATTGCGCTATACCTTTCCGATAGAAACAGACGGGATGGTCATCAAAGTGAACAGCCTGAAACAGCAGCAGCAGTGTGGTTCTACGGCACATCACCCAAAATGGGCCGTGGCGTATAAATTTCCGGCTAAACAGGCGCATTCTAAATTATTAAGTGTTGATTTTCAAGTGGGCAGAACTGGTGCCATTACTCCGGTGGCGAAAATTGAACCGGTGCATTTAAGTGGGGTGACCATTTCTTCTATATCACTTCACAACGAAGATATGATTCGCGAAAAGGGAATTATGTTGGGTGATACTTTAATTGTTGAAAGAGCCGGAGAGGTGATTCCCTACATTGTTGGTGTTGTGCCCGATTTACGCAACGGAAGTGAGCAACCGTTGGTGTTTCCAAGTAATTGCCCTTCGTGCGAATCGCCATTAATTCGTCCGAATGAAGAAGTGGTATGGCGATGCGAGAATGCCGATTGTCCGGCTCAGTTGGAGGAACGCATCATTCATTTTGTATCGAAAGATGCCATGGATATTGACGGACTCGGCCGACAAATTGTGATTGATTTTATTGCCAATGGTTTACTAAAAAACATTGAAGGTATTTATGCGCTCGACTTTGAAAAAATTCGCACATTGGAAGGTTGGGGCGAAAAGTCGATAGAGAATTTGAAAAACGGAATCGAGCAATCGAAAAAACGTCCGTTATGGCGATTGTTAGTGGCTTTGGGTGTTCGGCATGTGGGGACAGGAACAGCGAAAGACATTGCAGGACATATTTTATCTATCCATGAATTATCTACAAAAACGGTTGAAGACTTAATAGCGATTGAAGGTATTGGGCCGAAAGTGGCAAACAGTATACACGATTTTTTCACCAACGAAGCGAACATTCATTTGCTCCACGATTTAGAAAAACTGGGCTTAAACACCGTAAATAATCCGGCTGAAAACGCATCGGCATCGAACAAACTAAACGGACAAACCTTTTTGTTTACAGGTACTTTAACGCAATTCGGTCGCGACCGTGCAAAGCAATTGGTAGAAGAAAATGGAGGAAAATTGTTGAGTGCCGTTTCTGCCAATCTAAACTATTTGGTGGCAGGCGAAAGTGCAGGAAGTAAGCTCACCAAGGCAAAGGCAATACCTTCTATAAACATTATCACTGAAGATGAGTTCTTGGCCTTAATCGCCTAAGTCGAAATGAAGCGCGAAGTTTTGCCGTGCAAACAAACGAAATCGCTTTAGTCTTGCGGTTTCCAAGTTGATTAAATTATTTTTCTCTGTTGAATCGTTCTTCAATTCATAGAGCTCTTCCTGCTTAAAATCTTTTGTAAAAATGTACTTGTAAATCACCGAATCATCATTGTTGATGATAGCGTATTGTTGTTGTTTTGTTTCAAGTCCAATCTTTCCGGTTTCATGAAAAGAATATTGAACGGTTGTGGCGTCTAACAACGAAACGCCTTGCCAACAGGAAGGCAGAGCGAAATGAAGTGCTTGAGCAATGGTTGGTGCAATATCAATTTGTCGGCTGAATTTTCCGGTAGGATATCTTTTTTGATTGTCAATGATGAGTAACGGAACTCGGGTTTGTGCTTGATACAACCAGTCGACATGGCCATCAACACCATGTTCACCAAGGCCTTCGCCATGATCAGCTGTGATAATTATCAATGCGTCTTTCAAAATGCCTTTCTGTTCAAGTTCTTGGAATATTTTTTTGATGGTAAAATCCGCTTGAAGGATTTTATTGTCGTAGAGGTTCGTTAAGCGCAATAGCCTGTCGTTTATGCCTCCGGCTGTTTTCTCGTAAGGTTTCCATATGGCAAATTCTTTTTGCAACAAAGCTGTTTCATGTGGCGATTGCAAGTGCAGATAAAGGAAATTACTGTGTTGCTGAAACACCCTGTTTTCTATCCCTTCCCACACCACTCGGTCATCTTTGAAATAATACTCAGGCGCATTCATTCCATCAAAATAATAATCGCAATCACGCGTATAGGTTCCGGCAATATTATACCAAGCTTTGTGTGCTCCAGCAATAATAGCAGAGGTTTGATAGCCTTGTTTTTTGAACAACTTAAATAATGTAAAGCCATCGTAAGTGCAACTTTTCCATTCTTTACTTTGCATAAGACTCGGAATGCCACAAATGGTGGAGGCTGATGTTGAAATACAATTTTCGATTTTCTGTATTTCTCCTTTTGAACAAAGTTGATTCAAAAAAGGTGTCGTGTTGCGAACATAGCCATACATGGGTAAATGATCGGCACGTAGGGCATCACAAACAATTAAAATTACATTTCGAGAGGTGTTGTGTTGAGAAAGATATTGCTCTGCAACTAATCGGTCGTTTGTTGCCACTTTTGTGCGGTAGGGATTGAAGAATGGATTATCGGCCGCTCCCCACATTTTATCAAACGCAAAGACCAAAAAAGGTTCACCTCTAAAATGGAAAAAACGCTTAATAGGCAAACAAAATAATAGCAAAATGAAGAATAAAACAACAGCATGGTGAGAAATCCTAGTTTCTGGATAGGGTTTGATTTGTTTACACACCAACAAAACCCACAAAAAATTGACGAGAAGAAATGCAAGCAAAAATAGATAAACGGAATATGGCGAAATAGCAACAGAGGCGCAAAAATCACTGAGGTTTAAAACATATGGTTTGAGAATGTTCAAGGTAAGAATATCTCCCCAGTATACCAATCCAATACAGATTGCAAAATAAACCGATGTAATTGTTGTCTGATACACAAAAAGGAACAGGATCCGTATGTTAATGCTTTTTACTGCATTCCAAATCAAGTTAAAGCAAGTGTGAATTATGGAAATACCTACGAGATGGTATATTGTTGCAGAGAATGGGAGACCAAGAAAAACAAGAACGCTCGCAAAAAATATAGATGCTGTTAATAACACCAAAAAAAGTCCGTATCCCTTCATGATATAACCTTGTTTCTTAAAAAGTTGGCATTAAACACTAGTAATCAAACTGTTTATTTGAGAGGGAAAACAACTCCATTTGATGTAGGAAAAAACATTGGGAAATAAAGAAATTTAAATACTTTTACCTACATTAATTTACAACACAAAATTTATATATCTCTTTTCAGGGGTGAAAAACGGTGAGGCTTCCTTCGGGAGGCTTTGCTGTTTTTGGGAACCTAGTTAATTAGAGATTGATTACAACTTCTCGCTCCTGTTTTTTCTTAAGCCCTTTGTTATAGAGCCATTGGAAAATCAGAAACAGTAGAACAAAGTATGCAAAATAACCTAACGTTGTTTGGATAGACCATTCGAAAACATCGAATAAAAGAGGCAATGCAACGCCCATTGAAATCAAAGACGTAAAAATGAGAATAATGGCAACATTGCTATCGCTAATACCCAAATAGGCTAGATGGTGTGTAATGTGGTCTTTGCCGCCTACGAAAGGAGACTGTCTTCTAAGTAGTCGCCTAATGGTTACTGTTGAAGTATCGATGATTGGAACGATAAAAAACAACATAGGTATCACAAACTGTTGGATTTGAAAATGTTCTGACGTTGGCTGTTTGAACTTCCAGAAATAAACAATACCACCTGCCGCTAAAAATACACCTAAAAATTGACTTCCCGTATCCCCCATATATATTTTTGCGGGATTCCAATTAAAAAAAAGAAAGCCTAAAAGACTACCGAAAACACCTACCATCATTACTAAATAAAAGTTTTGATTAATGGATCCGTCTGAAAAAATTATAACAACAAATCCTACAATTATTGTTGCAGAGATTGTCGCAGTAATACCGTCCATGTTATCTAACATGTTCACGGAGTTCATAATTCCAATTACCCAAAAAGCAGTAAAAGCAAAGTCGAGAGCTGGAACTTCTGTAATATGGATATATACATCACAAACAATTAAAATAAATGCACAACTTAGTTGACCGATAAATTTTACCAATGGATTCGTGTTATAGGTGTCATCAGCTAAGCCAATTAAAAAACCAAGAGTAGAAGCTATTGTGATGCCAATTATGCGCTTATCAAACAACCATTCCGTTTGGCGTGGCATTGCCCCAATAAATGCAATAGAAATCAAAAAAACAATAAAAAAAGAAAACCCTCCAACAGAAGGTTTTATGTTAGAGGCCCAACGTACCTGCTCTACCGTTTTATCATTTCTTGCGCCTAAATTGAAAGAAAACCGCAAAAAAAGCCAATTAATCAGAAAGGAGATAAAAACAGCCATTGCAAAAAACAGAGACAAGAAAAACAGCCAATATTTTATATTGAATATCATGCTTTTGTAAAAATTTTGGTGAGTACTTTTTGTATAAATGTTTGTTTCTTTTTCTCTGACCCTCCATAATATCCATAACCCTTTTGGTTTCCATAGTTATAGCTGTATCCATAACCGTAGCCATACCCATAACCCGATCCAGAGCCGTAATAGTATCCGTAACTTGATGCACCTCGACCAAAATCATTTAGAATAACAGAGAGTTTCGCTATTTTACTGTCTTCAATTAATTTGTTCGCGTTGATAATAAATGTCCGGTTTGAATACGCAGCACGCAGTACATAAATAGGAAAATCGGCCTTACGTAAAATTTCCAAAGAGTCGGTCACTAAACCAATTGGTGGTGTATCAATTACAACGTAATCATATTTCGTTTTAAGATAATCTACCATTTGATCCATTCGCTTCGACAATATAAGCTCTGATGGATTCGGTGGTACCGGTCCGGAAGGAATAATATCAATGTTCTTTATTCCTGAGCTATAGATACACTCATCTTCTTTGGATTGATTGCTCAAAATTGTACTTACACCAATAGAGTTATCACAATCGAAAATTTTATTGATACGGGGTTTTCGCAAGTCACAATCAACAATTATAACTTTTTGGTCTAATAGGCTAATAATTGCCGCTAGATTAAGCCCGGTAAAGGTCTTTCCTTCCCCTGGAATGGTTGATGTAGTAGCGATAACTTTAGGGCCAGGAGTATTATTCATGAATTGAAGGTTAGAACGAATACCCCTATAGGCTTCCGATATGGTAGACTTAGGGTCTTTTGTAACAACAATTTGTGATCGAACTAGCTTTTCTTCATAACTTGGAATTACACCTAATAAAGGAGCCTTTGATTTATATTGTACCTCTTGTATTGAAATAATTGTCTTATGCAATAAATAGCGTATAACAACCAATAACAACCCTAAAAGAATACCCAGCAAAATTCCGGCTAACTTAATCATTGTTTCTTTGGGAGAAATTGGAGAAGTTGGGAGGTTGGCATTTTGAAGAATAACATAATCCGACACTACACCTGCGTTGGCAATCATATAATTCGCTCGCTGGTCAAACAGACTAAAATAAAACTTGTCTTTTGACTCTTTTATCTTGTTTAATTTATTAAATCCTGATTCTACTTGAGGTAGACCATACATCTTTTCAAGTTTTTCTGTGCTTTCAGATGTAAGCCGATTTAATTTACTATCTATTATAACTATAGCATTGTTTAGATTATTGTTTAGCTCAGTTGTGAAATCTTGGATTTGCTGATCTAAGAGACGAACTCTCGGATGGTCGGTTGTAACATCTAAGAGCGTTAGGTTTCGCTCGTTTTTTAAACTATTTATTTTGCTAATTATGGAAACTAAATTGACATCTCCTTCTTGTAGCGTCAACAACGGTATAGTCGAAATTTCATTGTTATTTAGCGCCTTTTTAAGCGCTCTTATAGAAATTAAATCTTGCGTTAGCCCCCTTATTGTTTTGTTAGTCTCAGTCATTTCGGCTGAAAGGTTCTGTAGTTCATTTTCGTCCATATACCCAAACTGAGCTCTTAACATTGATAAAGAATCTTCAAATGAAGAATTACCTTGTTCAGATAGCATTATTTGATTGTTTAAGAAGGCGATAATATTGTCAAATCCTTCCCGCTTTTTTTCAACATCATAGTCTACAAATACTTTAATCATCATATTGATGATATCGCGAGCCTTTGCAGCATTTTTATCTTTATAGCTTATTTTAAAACTTTTTGTTTTAAAGTCTAAAGGCTCAATAGATACCTTATTGATCAAATCTGCTATAACTACCGATTTGTCATATTTTCTGACATAGAAAACACCCCGAAAATCGTCTTTCGTAAATGTCTTTCTCTTCTTTGTAACAATACCTTTAAAGGAAGGGGAAT